AGGCTCCAACCCGCCCCCCAACCCGATGCCCTTGGCGCTTTTGGCACAGGGAGGCTGGTGCCCAGACAGTGCCAAGGGGAGACGGGGCAGGTGCTGGGTGGGGTGGGGGCACCACAGGCCGCTCTGCGAACGTGGATTTTGGAGGAAATCAAGCCCAGCGCTAACGAGTGAGGTGCCCATCCCCAGCGCTGGCTGTCCGTAGGGATCAGGGCCTGCAGCCGAGCCAGCCTCCGGGCCACCTAGCGAGCACAGCGAGCCTGGAGTCGGCTGCCTGGAAGCTCCACTGCCTGGCGGGTCGGAGGAGGCAGCCGACCAGCTCTTATGCCCAGTAGCAGCTCAAAGCATTCGCCCTCCTGCCTTCGTTCTGCCTTGTTTCCCTTTGCGCAACCCGGTTCTGCCCGTCAGCTCTGACTTCCGCCTCCAGCTGTGACCCTTTGCTCTGCCCCGGGGCTCCCCTTCCTGGTGACTGACTCTTGCTCTAACCACTAGGCATGACTGCCCGTGGCCCAGCGATTTAAAGGACCCGGTCGCCCACCACTGCTACTGAGGCTGTAGCAGCAGCCGCCAGGGCCCTGAGCAGCACAGGTGGTGCAGAAGGGCCAGCAGGGGAGAGGCTAGCTCCAGCCCCGCCCCTTCTGCCCAAGACCCCTCCCCTTCTGGGTGTGCAGAGCCGAGCCCACTCCTCCACCCGCCCAGGGGCCGGCAGCCTTGTGTGCCAGCAACCCCTCTCATCAAGTGCTGCACATTGAGGTGTAAGACCCCAGCAATAGCAGCTGAAGGACAATCTGCCCTCACTCCATGACCCCTTGTCATGGCTCTGTCCCCACTCTGGCACGATGAATGCAGAAGTGGAGGCCCGCAGAAGTCCCCCAAAACCTGGATTTTGGGGATAAAAACTCTGCTGCCACGACCCAACTAATGATACAAAAAATCAGGGGTGAGATCGCTTGGGAACTTTCACCCCTAAAGTACAAAGCAGGACACAAAAATGAACCATTATCAGGCTATAAAAAGAAAAGAGAAAGAACTTTTATTATCACCACACTATGCTTGTTGCCAGCATAATGACTAGATGGTTGAGTCACGAAGTTATATATTCCTGGGGAATTCCACCAGGGGCCCAGACTTAGTTAAAAAGGAGAGGAGGAGAGGAAACCCCATTTTAAATGCACAGACATCAGACTCCCATTTCCCCAACCATAAAACAATAAAACCTAACAGATGTATCTAAACTTGACCCTACTTACAGATAGTGAAGAGTCTTTCTTAGGAGGGAGACATTCTGTCTGTTTCCCTCAGTAGCTGGAGAGAAACTACCCAGAACAAAAGAGAGAAAAAACCCAAAATTCCTTTGTCCCAGTTTGAAATTCCTACCTGCATTCCTATTGGCTGAATCTACCTGGCTTAGGTAAGGGACATAGTTAGGGATTTTGCATTTGCCGTTACCATGGGCCAGTCTTTACATGGGAAATCTGTGAATATTGGTCTGCTCGCCCCAGATGAGAGGGGTGACGTGGGGTGCATATGTTACCCCCACACCTGCTGGGCGTGGGGTGCTAAGACGTGGTTATTTCGAGAAAAAACCCGTCTCTCAAAATAACCCTTATTCCTCATACAATGAGGGTGTGTCTAGACGACAGGGTTTTAAAAAAACAAAACCCTCCCCCTGCGTCTAGACTGCTGCTGCGTTCTTTTGAAAGTAAATCAAAAGAATGTGGCAGTTTTTTCGACCACAGAAAACCTCCTTTTTACGGGGAAGAACGCCTTTTTTCAACAGTGCTCTTTCGAACAAAGGCGCTATGGAATGCAAACTGTGCTTTTTTGAAAGACAGCATCCAGACTGCCTGGGTGCTCTCTTTCGAAAAAGCAGCTTGCTTTTTCGAAAGTACTGGTTGTAGTCTAGATGCTCTTTTTCGAAAGAGGCTTGCAGTCTCGACGTAGCCTGAGGTTTGCCAGTTATTTTGAGAGAAGGGTTTTCCCTCGAAATAAACGCGTCTTAAGAGCATCTGTTATTTCAAAATAGCGCCATAACGTGAATATGCAAATGAAGCGCGGGATATTTAAATCCCGGCTTCATTTGCAATTTCGAATGGCTTCATTTGCATCCCTCTCTCGAAAGAGGGTGTAAGTGTAGACATACCCTGGCAGATTAAAGGGAGCCTACAGCACCTGGGTTCACTTTAAGGCCACCCTCCCCTGTGGGGGGTCTGGATAGCTTAGTGCCGTGGTCACCAACCAGTAGATCGCGATCTACCGGTCGATCTCAGGGGCTCTAAGAGTCGCTCTTGAGTCCTCTCTGAACTGCGTGCCTGCGCAGTACATTTACATTAGATTTCCTCATTTGAGGAGCAGCTACTCACCGAGCAACAGCACAGGTGAGTAGCTGCGATGCCCGTCTGATGGACTGTATACAACTAGCAATCTCAGACTACAACCCAGACTTCAAGACACTGGCAGATACTGTTCAGTCACAGGTGTCACACTGAGACTTTGTTATTGGAAGAAAAAATATATAATTATCAATACTTGATTTTAGATTTACAAAATAGCAGAGAACAAAATGTATAATTGTAAATGCTTCATTTGACATTTAAATAGCATGAATTAAAAACAGACCATTTATTTCATAACTATAAACATGTGATTTTAATTTTATATATTGCATAATTTAAAAATAAACTGTTTAACAAAGTGTATAAGGGCTGGGGATAGTAAGTGATGGACAGGAGAATAGAGAGGGCGGGGCTTCCAGGGAGGGGCGGGGCGGTAGCTCTTCGCCTGTTCTGAGACTTAAAAAGTGATCTTGGGTGTACAAAGGTTGGAGACCCCTGGCTTAGTAGTTTGAGCATTAGCCTCCTAAACCCAGGGTTGTGAGATCAACCCTGGAGGAAGCCATTTAGGGATCTGGGGCAAAATCTATCAGGGTTGGTACTTGGTCCTGCTGTGAGGGCAGGGGGCTGGACTTGGTGACCTTTCAAGGTCCCTTCTAGTTCTAGGAGATGGGCATCTCCATTCTTTTTTTTTTATTTATTTAGTGGCCGGGGCGGGGGAGCACTTGTCTGCATAACTGAGGGGAGTAGCTATTGCCGGGTAAATTGGTCCGCAATAAACACTCTGGACTGCCTCTCCGGATGTGCTCGTGCTTCAGAATAGCCAGCAATTCCCAGTCACGCAGGCAAAGCCTCCGTGTACACCAGGATCCCTCCCGTGGTGTTTTGTGCTCCCCTTGCACCAATGAGATTCCAAGAGTCTGGGCCCTTTTACACCCTTCTGTCACATTACTGGATTTTGAGGGGAGCAGCCAGATCACTGCTGCACCCATGGGGGGGTGTTGGCCCCAAAAATGGTATAAAAGGGGGCCATGTGAGGTGTTGAATAGAAGCTCACTGTCTGCTAATCCTATGTACGCTGTTCATGTGATGGTATAATGTCTGTGTGTGTGGTTAGGAATCTGTAATCTGTGTGGATACTGAATATTTCTCTGCATGTGGTTGAGCAGTGGGCAGAGCCCGGCCTATGGACATGCTAATTAGCGAGGTCCTGTGGGACAATGGCTCTCAATGGGCCAAGGACACACCTAAAGCATGAGGGCGGACACCTGAGAGCTGCCAGCAGGGATAGGCCGCTGGCCAGGTGACCTGCTGGAGCCAAGAAGAGGCCAAGAAGATAAATAGGCCATGTGGTGGCCTCCATCTTGGTCTTCAGCTCAGCACTTCATCCCAGAGGGAGCATTGCAGGGATCGAAGAGCCGGAAAGACCTGTGCACCCATCCTGATCCTAGGATGTGCAACAAGGACTCTTAAGCCAGCAGCTGTAACATCTCTGCTAGAGCCTGCATCGAGAACTGGGAGATTTTCATCCCAGAGGTAGCAGTGCAGGAATTGAAGAGCCGGAAAGAACTGTGGACCCATCCTGATGTAAGATGTTCACCAAAGACTTTTAAGCCATCAGTTATAACATCTCTGCTGCAAGCCTGCATTGAGAACTGGGAGATATGATGCATGTAATGTATGATACTTTAACAACCTTACTCTCATGCTTTTCTATTTTGTGGTAATAAACTTTTAGATTCTAAAGGATTGGCTCAGCGTGATCTTGTGGGTAAGGTCCAGAGGGTAAATTGACCTGGGATCTATGGCTGGCTTCTTTGACCTGGCTATCTATGGCTTCTATTCGGGGAAGGTGAGATTGGGTTCTAAAATCCCTCACCTGTGTATGAGGCCTGGTGCCATCTGGGGCACAGATATTGCTGGGATGTCGGAGGGGTTTTGCTCGTGAGGCTTCAGGCAGGCAGCTGAAGCGCTCTGTGGGCCTGGTTTGTGGCCTGTTTGGAGAGGCCACCAGTCTGGGGACTGTAAGGAGCCCTGCAGTTGAGCTGAGCAATTCTCCCTGAGCAGACGCCCTCAGCTGCGCCCAGACATGGCCCGGTCCGTCACACCTCCTCAATGCTGCAAACTGCTGAGTCCCTGCTCTGAGCAGCTCTGGGCTGGGCTGCAGCTGCTGCTCACAGGAAGGGGGGTAGTTTCAGTTCCCTATGATGCGGGGAGAAGGGAAGGGCCCAGCCTGCTATGCAGACGGGGAAGGGTTCACACCCGAGGCGACGGGCTGCACCAGCGGGCCCACCCGGCTCCGTTGAGCATTGGCCAACTTGCAGGTAGGCGCCCCCCCCACCGCACCCCTCGTGCCCGGCTCCCAGGGGGCAGGTGCTAACATGAGGCGCAGCCAGTTAAGGAGCAGCGTGCTTGTTAACGAGCCCACACGCATGTGCATTTGCAAGTCTCCCGGGTGATCCTATGTGCCGGACATCAGCTGACTCAAGGAGCACGGCCTGTGCTGAGTATTGCACAACGCGTGCGGTGCTGGAGATGTCTCTCTCTTCCCACATGACATCTGGCATTGGCGTCTGGCCCAGGGCGGGACCTGCCAGCGGCAGTCTCTTGGATGGAGGCTGGAGGGGGCGACCTGTCCGTCCAGGTTTCCCTGCTCTGCTGAAGAGGCCACTGCCATCAAATCCGGACATTGGTACTTGTGGGGCTCCAACATGCAGGGTTTGGGGGATGGGCGACTCCATGGCGGTCACAGCGGCGGCTGGCCCAAGGTATGCTAAAAACCAGAGAGGTTCATGCAAAGTGCCATTGCGACCATAGGAAAAACGATTTCCCGGGGAGAGTGGGGAAGCTCTGGGATGGGTTCCCTAGGGAGGGGGTGGAATCTCCACCCCTAGAGGTGTTTAAATCCGGGCTGAACCAAGCCCTAGCTGGGATGATTGAGTTGGGCTGGTCCTGCTTTGGGCCGGGGGCGGCACTTGGCATCTCCTGAGGTCTCTGCCGGCCCTGGGGTTCTATAATTCTACTGCCACATAAAATACACCAGCAGCGAGACCCACAGTGCGTAATAATGGGACCAACGTACGCTAACCCCTAGCTACTTCCCTATGCAGCTAGCCCGTGTGAGGATACAGAGCCAGTATCTGCCTGCCCCCTCCATACCCATCCATCCAGCTGCACTTGGCGCTGTGATAAAGGAGCTTTGTGCGCCGAAGGACCCCGACCTCTCCCAGCCAGCCCCACCAGCAGCGAGACCCACAGTGCGTAATAATGGGACCAACGTACGCTAACCCCTAGCTACTTCCCTATGCAGCTAGCCCGTGTGAGGATACAGAGCCAGTATCTGCCTGCCCCCTCCATACCCATCCATCCAGCTGCACTTGGCGCTGTGATAAAGGAGCTTTGTGCGCCGAAGGACCCCGACCTCTCCCAGCCAGCCCCACTGCCCCCGACT